CATGCGCCCGGCGTGAGTTTTAAGCCACCGGGTCTGGGACTCGAACCGCGGTCGACTACGTGGGAGTCCAGCGACATAGCCATTACGCTAACTACTGGTCCCTCTAAATGGCTCTTTTTGAAGCTGCTAAAGAAGAGAATTGACTACCAGGGGCAGGGGTGGAAGTATTAAGAGACCAAGGAGGAGGCTTGGGTGGTACCTGAGGAGGAGGCGCCTGTGCCTGGACCAGGATAGGAACCAGGAGCTGGAGAGAAGTGGGCGGGTTCAGAAGACACTTATAGTGACCAGCAGGTGGCGTGGTGGTGAAGGTGCTGGACTCCCACATGGCCAACTGTGGTTTGACTCCCAGACCTGGTAACTTATTCTTTTTTTTTCTTTCCTTTCTTTCTTCCTTTTAAATTATTTATTTTTCATTGCTATTATTTTAATTTGACCAGAGACAGAGAGAGGAAAAAAAAAAAAGAAAGAAAGAAAGGGAGAAGTTACCAGGTTCGGGACTCGAACCATGGTCGGCCATATGGGAGTCACGCCACCATGCCACGTGCTGGCCCCATGATGGCTTGCTTTCTCACTTTCCCTCTTTGTCTCTCTCTGGTGAGCACATGTGCCCTATACCAAACGTACAAAATAAGATAGAGAACAATAATAATAATAAAATGAATGAATAAATATTTTATTATTTTAGAGATTTTTTGCTATAGGGCTTGTGTGCTCACTGGAGAGAGAGACAGAGACAGAGAGAAAAAGTGATGAACTACATCCCAGGGGGGATATCTGTACCACAGTCTCTTCCCCATTATCTTCTCTGGTTTGGGGCACAGACACACACATGCCTGGCATGAATTTCAAGCTGCCGTGTCCAGGACTCAAACTGCTGTCAGCCACATGGGAGTCCAGAACCTTAACCACTATGCCACATGCTGGCCCCAATATCTACATAAATTTATTTATTTTAAATTATTGTATTTAATTCTACTTATTCATTCATTTATTTTAATTTGACCAGAGAGACAGACAGAGAGAGAGAGAAAGTGAGAAAGCAAGCCACTCGAACCGTGGTCAGCCATGTGGGAGTGTCCAACACCTTAGCCACCACGCCACCTGCTGGTCCCAATATATAAATAATTTTTAAAAATAAGATCATGGGAAGCTGGCAGGTGGCGTGGTGATTAAGGGCACTGGACTCCCACATGGCCAACTCTGGTTCAAGTCCCGGACATAGTGGCTTGCTTTCTCACTTTCTCTCTCTTCCTTTTTTCCCCTCTGGTGAAATTAAAATAAATAAAGTTAAATAAAATAATTTTTAAATAAATAAAATAATGAGATTAGCAGATGGCATGATGGCTATGTCGTTGAAATGTAGTGTAGTCGACCACGATTCGAGTTCCGGACACGGGGGCTTAAAACTCACCCC